TGGTATTATAGGTAAAATAATATTTATTTATGCCTAAATACACTACACAGCACTTAGGTATTTGTATATTTTATAATATAAATAGTTAATTTCAAACTATTCCAAAACGACCAAAACTAAATATATAATACCTATAGGTACCTATATTATATTGGTGAGAAATAAATACTTTTTTCAGTAGGAACAAATGGCGTATATATAATAAGGCATTCACTGAACATATTTTTCAATAAGTAGGTATTCAAAATTCAATTACGTATATTATATTCMGGTAATTTGAATACTTTTCATGTTATATTTATTCGAATACAAAATATTAGTATTCTTTACAAGACTTATATATGTAATAAATAGGTTTATAAGATACCAATCTACATTCAAAAGTTAACTGTCGATGTTTTTATATGAATATTATTATGATACTCGGAATTAAGGAAATCCAGTAAAAACTTTGTCGAATCTGAATTTGAATAGATTTATCATTTATAATATTATAATAAATTTAAAATTAATAATTAAAGGTTTTTCAAAAGTTCCATCCCATTACTTATCTGCAGTGCTAGGAACATGGATAACTGAAAAAATCTGGATAAAGATGACAACACAATTTTATTTTAGATACAGATAAAAGATAAATAAATCAAATTCATCTAACAAAAGATAAAAATATTCTATCTAGAATAAATTACAGGTAATTAATTATAGAAATTAAAATAACTAATTTAAAAAATATGTATACTCTTATGTAAGAAAAACATGCGTGTATAAATGTTTATTTTCGTCTTCATTTATAACATATTAAGTGTCTTGTGTATCACCAAACTTAACCCCATACATAGTATGTTGTCAGTTGTCGATTATCGTGGATGTTATTAATATTTATATTAATTAATAATTTCAGATGATCGTATAGCCGATAGCGAATACGAAAAAAAATAGACGTCTACAGGTTTATCTTTATTTCTCAATAAATAAAATTATATTCTATGAAATTTTGCTTATATCAGTGATTATAACTTATCTTTTTATAATTCGTATTTAAATTATATTTTAAAAATATTTATACAATTCTGGGAAATAACACCGGTCGCGATAAACAACAGTACCTATAATATATAGGTAGGTACTAGGTAATCCTACTTATATAAATGAATTAATATATTTTATATTAATTTATAACCGAACAAGCAGAATGTTAATAAATACTAAATAGGAATAATTTATAATCTTTTCACAATAACGTCATAATATATTTGTATCCAATTCAGCTGTTACTGAAGAATGAAGATCATATGAGAGATTTCGAAAAATTCGGGGGACGGGGGCCCCAGTGAATTGCACACCCAACACTCCCGATAATTGAGCCACTTAAATTGTTATACATGGAATTGTGAATTGTAATATCAAAAGTATTCTTATTTTGCAATAACATATGAGAATTTATAAACAATAATATTGTGGTTTAACTACGTAAAACATAATTTAATGTTTAAACAAAATTTTGAAATCATGATAAAGATCGAGAACATTATAGACCTTTTAACCGACACAGAAATTTAAAAATATTTTAAAAGAGTTATTCTACAAATATTTCATCACAAACATTATAAAAATATGTACCTACCTATTTGGAAAACGTTTTGCGTTCAATACTGTAGGTCCATTTTCATTAAATATTTTCAAATATTTTAAGAAAGTTTTTGTCGATAAATAATTGTTTACTCTTTCAAAGAAGTTTAAAATTGAACATGAGAGGCTAACAATAGGTTTTCAATCTCATAAGTTGTTATAAGTTCTATATTATACTGAATATAAAATTTGTGTAGAAATAAATTAATAGTATTTTTTTATAAGTGTATAAAGTTCATTAAATTATGAACATATTATTTGMAAATTTTTAACTTAGTGTAAATCGTTTCCTTGACTAGAAAAATATCAATGCACTTAGAAAAACTTTTAAATAAAACAATATTAAAAGTAGCATCACAATGGTGTTGAACCTAYTATAAAACTTCTTGGATCGGTTAAATTTGGCTGATATCGCACGAAGTGGGTTTTATCAATATTTATTATTTTTTTTAATTGACAGGATGACACTTACAAACAATGCAATTTCTTTATTTACAACTAAAATAAATAATGTCAAATAAGTGGTTTAATATATAGGATGAAGTTGACTATATAATATAATATTATAGCTGTATGATTGTTTATCAAAACTGTCAATAACACAGTACAACAAAAACAGTCTTTAATGAACTTTTATGTTTACAATATAAACATTGCTTGTTCGCTCTTTGCAGAATCACACGTAGGTATCATAAAAATGATATGTAGCTATAAAGTATAGTTTTACCATTGAATATCCATAGAAAGATTAATTTTCCGAATACACTGATGACGTAGGTATGCATAAACACTTCAGGCACRGTCGTGTTTAGATTCAAGTTTTGTATAATGAATGTTTTTTTTTTTTTAATAATTTGTTTTTAGTAAAATATTAGAATAAGACTAATTATAATTATTTTGATAAAACGAATAAAATTATAGAAAAATGTGTTATTATAAGATGAAATTGTTCTGCTAGTTCATGAATCATGATGATCTGTCTAYAGGCGTAACGCGTATGGCTAAGGAACAATCTATAATTATTAATTAGATTATACAATAATTACTCATAATAAAAAAACTATCCACATTACTTATTGTTGATAAACCTTCAYCRTCTGTGTATCTCGATGACAAAAATATTCTTAAACATTGAATATTGTACGATGTTATTATTTTTAATTTACTTTATTTTTTAATTGCAATGAAATACAGAATTCTTAACTTTTATCTGGTGGCCCCTAAACGCGCCTTCTCTGACTATATAGGTGCCTATATATACTTATTTAATACATATTTTTGAAATGCAATTCTTATTTCATAAAAACGATTAAAGAACGAATAGGCGAATGGCCAATATTTGAATTAATTCAGCCTTATATTGTGTGCATATATGTGATAAATATACTGATAATAATATACTATTAGAAATATGAACAAAYCCAATATTATAATATGATAAAACTACAATATGGTCATATAGTTTATGATAAAGCTACTAATATTAATTAATTTAATATTTTTTTGAAAATCACATTTTACCTGACAATCCAGACACCTGCAGTGATCGCTCATCTTGCACGTTATACCCCATTGAGCAGCAACCGCCTTATAAAACTCTTTGCTGCTCTTATGAAATATTTCTTGTCTTACGGGTGATCCATTACTTTGACATTCGATCTCAGAGCTACACGATTGCCGACCACTCCCTCCGGCGCAAATTTCATCGGACGTGGTCATTTGTTGCAGATTGCCACCGTGATCGGAAGATTGTCCTGGCTAATAATAAAAACAAAAATAAATTCGATACTTAATTAAAGATAACTATATAATCAAAAAATTATAGACGACAAATATATATATATTTTATAATGCATAATGTGATGTTGCTGCAGCAACTTACATGCAAGCACTTATAATAATATTCATCGTGGGTACCCTAGCTATTCCCCCCCCCCACCAAAAAAATATCCTTAGATCAGCATCTGATAGAATAATCAACCTGTATGAATTATATTTTATTAATAGTTTTATTACCTATAGGTATAATATAGCAGTTCGTAAGAAATATTTTTATTTTATTTTTTATTGAGGGTTGAGGCTTCGACAACAAGGGTCATTTGCCTGGGGAACTGTTGGTTTTGGTACTCGTGGATGTTTTGGCAGAATTTCGAATGGGTGCCTGTAGRTTTCTGCCATGCCCGGTTGGGGGGCGACRGCCTCTCTTTCCAGACAGCATGAACTGCCTGGTAAGCGATGCCGCCCCTGACCGGGATTCAAACCGGCGACGGTGCTCGTCGCAACCGACGCCTTAATCCKCCCGGCCACTACACCCACTAAGAAATAATTATATTTTTAATACCGCATCTTCTTATCGACGAAGGTAATTACCTAAATAAATAAAATGATTAACAATATTAATTAATTCATCTGGATTGATGTAGGACCTACCCAATTAAAAATGCGCATTTTTAATATTTAATATGTTTTTTTTTTTAAGTACTTATAAAGTCTATGCTTATTTTTGTCTAGTGCGGATCGCTTATATGTGTATTAAACTATTAATAAACGGGAAAAAATTGATTTTCTTTCGCTTAATATTAGGTATAGAACGTATAGGTACAAACATCGACATTGTAGTGTTATTTAGTAGGTATTTAATATTTACCTCCTGCAAACTATGCTCATAACTCGGCGGCGGCGACGATGGAATTTGCTGTAGTCCCATGCAATCCATACTGCTGCAACCGGACGAACACGAATCCGAGGGCTGTTTCTTGTTTTTGTCTTTGCAGTGTTTTTTCCGCTCTTTTTTCATTTTAACGCCGCTGCAGTTCACTTTATATAGAAGGCAAAACGTAACTATGATGATTATTATTTCATGCATGCATGTATAATACGAATAATACGATGTAAAGCATCGAAAACGTTAAAACGAATATTATATACAGTTAGAGGTATCATACTTATTATATTCAGTTTTTTAATTTTTTGATTGTTTATAACATCTGGTGTACACCTTATATACTTATTTAATAAGTATAAAAATTAGGCATATGCATTTTATAATAAACTCGATAAAAGTTAGAAATCCAATCTATGACCAAAAACTTTGACAGCAATAGTAGTTTTTCGAGTACGGTGGATGCATGTGCATCGTTCTCGCACGTCTGTCGAGGGGAGGCAGCCGCKAAMAACTACGTACACTGGCGACACTGGCTACTGCAGTCAGTGCGACTACCACTAWATAATACTACAGCTGATGTCTATACATAGGTTTTACTATAATGTATATTATTATTATTATTTGCGGTGTTTTAAGGGTGGTACTCTGCAGGTACTTGATTGCAGTATTTATACAATTTATTATGTTTATCGATTGTTTTGTTTATTATGATTAGGCAGGTACATGCGAAAAAAA